ATGCTAAATGACATCCTTGGCGAGAACGGGCTCAGCAAGACGTCCGGGAAGACCAAGAAGGAGAAATTGCAGCAGATCTACGATCATTTGTCGCAGTAATGACGTCGTTCATGGTAGCAGTGTTCATAAGCTTCTGCGAAGCTTGCATATGGCTGTGTATGCCTTGCTTGGCGCTGGTCGACATAATCTTGCTGGCAATCGAGAGGGCATCGCCCCTGAGATCACCGGTGGGTGACTGCATCGCCATCTCGCTCGCGCTCGTGTCTGTGATTTCCCCGTTTGCTGCTATGGCGAACTGGGTGGGTTTTCAGCAGCAGCAGAGGTGGCAGCAAGCACAGCATTCGATGCATTTGTTGTTGAATCTGCCCCATTCTTCCATGGCACGATTGTAATCTATCCGTGCATCCGCAGTCTCGTCTATAATATTGCTCTCTGTTCCTGTCTTGCCGGCATGTGCTTTGCAAGTATAATTTGTTTGTTGTGTCGTGTCGCGCTCTCGCCCATCCTGCTCTCTCCATGCATTTCAGGAGCATTCATATGTATAGTGCTTATTCGCGCTGTTTTCCTGGTTCAAGACCAGGCAGAGGAGTGATCATGGCGTAACTCCCAGTCCTCGTTCCAAAGACGGGGCCTCTGCAATGGCATTTTGAGATATTTCGACGTGCTCGTGGGCACCCGGAAGATCGTCTCATTGTGTCAGAATTTGTTACCGTTGCACCATGACAGTGGGGACAGTGGGACAGTGGTGGGGAAGGTGGGGGCAGTGAGACACTGGCGGGGGCTCTGGGTACAATGGGGATAGCGGGACCGTGGTGGGGACAGTGGTGGGGACAGTGGGGACAGTGAGACACTGGTGGGCGCACTGGGGACAATGGTGGGAACAGGGGGGGCAGTGGGGCAGCGGTAGGGACAGTGGGGGCAGTGCGACAGTGCGAGAGTGGTGGTGGGCACAGTGGTGGGGACAGTGGGGACAGTGGGACAGTAGTGGGGACGGTGGTGGTGGGGACAGTATTGAGGGCGATGGTGAGGACCGCGGTGGGACGATGGGACAGTGGTACATTGGGGGCAGTGGTCGGAACAGTGGGGACAGTGGGACAGCGGTGGGAACAGTGGGGCAGCTCAGTGGGGCAGCGGCGGGGACAGTGGGGACAGTGAGACAGTGGTGGGGACAGTGGGACAGTGGTGGGGACAGTGGGAACAGCGGGGAGAGTGGGAGCGCGGTGGGAACAGTGGCGGGGGCAGTGGGGACAGTGAGACACTGGTGGGGGCACTGGCGGGGACAGTGGGGACAGTGGTGGGAAAAGTGGGGACAGTGGGACGGTGGTGGCGTTCACGGTCGTGGTGGGGACAGCGGCGGGGGCGGTGGTGAGGGCGACGGCGGTGGGGACCTGGCAGTCGTTTGCCGGCGGCGAGTGCGGGGGGGGGGGTTCGAACATGTTCGAACCAGTAGTGACCCCTACGGTTTTCTGGAGAGGGGCGGGAGGGAGAGGGGGGGTTCGAACCGGTAGTGACCCCCCGCGGTTTTCCGGAGAGGGGGGGGGGAGGGGTTAGGGTTTTTTTGCTGGGGGAAGAGAGGCGGGGTGGGGTTTGAGCAGAGGGGGGAGGATTTTCGGAGGGGTGGGGGCCCTGGGCTCCGGAGGAAGAGGGGGGGAATTTTCCACAGTAAAGCGCCGGTGGGTCACGCTCACTCCATTATCCTCCTTTTTGTTGATTATTATTGAAACAGTATTGTTTTTATTACTGGTACTAGCATCATCATGATATATCGTATGATCAGTTTATGTGGTTCGAAATATTTTGTATGATTGATATTAGTCGTATTATACGGCTTCGTATTATCATTTTTGTTGGGGTATTCTTAATATTCGTAGTCTCATTCTTATGAGTATTATTTCGAGTATTGTTACGAATATGAAATGAAGATTATCCCCATCAGTTGTCTTATGTTTGTTCTTATTCTTCTTGCTATAGTCTCAGAGTGAGGGGGCCGAACGGTCAGTCACTGTCATGGGTTCGTGGCTGAAGTGGGATTCCGCGATGTGGGTTGTTGTTGTTGTTGTTGTTGTTGTTGTTGTTGTTGTTGTCGTTGTCGTTGTCGTTGCCGTTGTCGTTGTCGTTGTTGTTGTTGTTGTTGTTGTTGTTGTTGTTGTTGTTGTTGTTGTTGTTGTTGTTGTGGTTTGTTTGTTTGTTAGTTTGTTTGTTTGTTGTTTTGTTTGTTGTTGTTTGGCGTCGTCCCCCCGCGACCCGGCCCGCGACCCCCCCCTGCGACCCGCCCGCTTCCCTCCCGCGACCCACCCGCGACCCCCCCGCGACCCCCCCTTGAGACCCCCCCCGCGACCCTCCCGCGACCCCCTCGCGACCCCACCCGCGACCCACCCGCTACCCACCCCGCGACCCACCCATTTTGCTTTAACGAAAAGTCGGCGCCTGCGGCGCACCAACACGCCCAGCGCCCCTCGATCTCCCTGCATGGAGTCTCGAGGGGCGGTGTTGCGCGCGGCCCGCTCGGCCGCGGCCGCGGCTGCTTCTGCGGTGGACGCCGTGTGGGGCTCTCCCGGCGCTGCTTCGCGCGCCCCGCCGACCCTCGTCATGCTTGTTGGGCAGCACGAGCGCCCCCCCCCCTCGCCCGCGCCCCTGCGCCGGCCGCCCCTTCCCCGGCGGGGCGGCGGCTGGACCCCGCAGGGGGCAGCCCCCATGGCCGCAGCGTGCTGGGCTCGGCCGGGCACCCCGACGGCGACCCCGACGCCCTCCCAGACCCAGACGCCTCCCCCGACGCCGAGCCCCGCGCCTTGCCCCTCGCCCAGCCCCAGTACAAAACACGACGAACCCGACGCCGAGCCCGACGACCGCCACCCACGCCAGCACCAGCGTCGCCGCCGCAGTGTCCGTAGCCCCGTCGCGGGCGGCCCTTCTCTCCCGGCCTTGGTTCTGGCCCGTCCGCTTGCGGGTTGCTCCCCCGCCCCTCCTCGTCTCCCGTCCCTCCTCTCCTTCGCCTTCTCCACCATTGCGCCCTGCTTGCTGTCTTCCTCTGCCCGCCCGCCTGCTTCGTCCCGCCGGCCATGGCCTCCCGCCTGCGCGTTTGCTTTCGTCTGCTTGCTTCTCGTTGCCTTTCTTCTCCGTCGCCGCGCAGCGCACGGACTGCCGGGAGCCAGCGGCACCAGACAAGGCGCCTCCGACACATCTTCTGCCCGGGCGCTCGGGTTCGGCTGGGCCGCGTTGTATCGTTTGAAAATTAGGCGCCTGCGGCGGGTTTCTTCAGAGCCTCGCAGACTGCAGACGTCCCCGCCGCCCCGTCAGTCTTATCCTGGACTGCAGGATATTACGTTTATACCTAACAGCGAAGACTGATAGGTTTCTAGTCATGACTCCTCAGAAGGGGGTCGGGGCGGGACCCGGGGCGGCTGCCGCCGAAGCCCAAATCGCCTGGGACATCCTCGCAAAATCGCTCTTGGCGCTGCTAGACTTCCATTCCCGGCGTACATTTTCGATGCCCGGAGCCAACTGTAGGCCACTTCGTGGTCTTCGAGTTCCCAGAACTCCATTCCCGGCGTACATTTTGGATGCCCGGAGCCAACTGTAGGCCACTTCGTGGTCTTCGAGTTCCCAGAACTCCATTCCGGGGCCACATTTTGGATGCCCAGAGCCAACTGTAGGCCACTTCGTGGTCTTCGAGTTTCCAGAACTCCATTCCCGGGCCACATTTTTGGTGCCCGGAGCCAACTGTAGGCCACTTCGTGGTCTTCGAGTTCCCAGAACTCCATTCCTGGGCATGATTTTGAATGTCCGGAGCCAACTGCAGGCACACTTCGTGTTCTCGAGTTCCAGAACAACATTCCCAGTGCCACATTTTTGATGCTGCGAGGCAGCTGATGCTGAGGCAGGGGGCAGCTTAGGCTAGGCCAGGCTGAAGGCAGGCTAGGCTGAGCTGATGCAGGCTTGATGCTGAGGCAGGCTGGATGCTGATTGCAGCCGAGGCTGAGGCTGAGGCTGAGGGCAGGCCGAGGCTGAGGCTGAGGCTGAGGCAGGCTGATGCTGAGGCAGCTGAGGCTGAGCCCGAGGCTGAAGGCAGGCTGAGGCTGAGGCTGAAGCAGGCTGAGGCATGGAGCTGATGCTGAGGAGGCTGAGCAGGCTGAGTCTGAGGCTGAGGCAGGGCCTGATGCCTGAGGCAGCTCATAGGGTACTCGTCTCCAAAAGGGCACTTTTTGATCTGAGCAGGCTGAGGCTGAGGCTGAGGCAGGCTGATGCTGAGGCCGAGGCTGAGGCTGAGGCTGAGGCTGATGCAGGCTGAGGCTGAGGCAGGCTGAGGCTGAGGCTGAGGCTGAAGGCAGACTGAGGCTGAGGCTGAAGCAGGCTGAGGCTGAGGCTGAGGCAGGCTGAGGCTGAGGCTGAGGCAGAGGCTGAGGCAGGCTGAGGCTGAGGCAGGCTGAGGCTGAGGCTGAGGCAGGCTGAGGCTGAGGCTGTGACTGCGACTGCCGTTGCCACTGCGACTGTCATCGCGAATGCGACTACGACTGCGAGAACAGCAGAATTCTACAACTGGCTTCTCATCTGAATCTTAAGGGGAATGCTTCCAGATATGCTCCTACACATCACTGTTAGGTTGCTTTGCCGGGATGATTTCTCGTGTTAATCTTGTGTTTCGTATTCTTGTGTGCTTTATTATTATGCTCCTTCTTATCATATTATTTTCCATACTAGTACCCTTCTTTTTGCTTTCATAATTTGCTTCTTCTTCTTGTGATTATGATCACTGTTCCTTTTCATCTTCATATTCCTCCTCCTCCTCCGCTCCTCCGTTTTCTCCATGTGTCTCTTTCCTTATCCTCCGCCTTCTCTTCCTCCTCCTCCTCCTGTCCTCCTCCTCCTTCTCCTTCTCTCCCTTCCTTCCCTCCGTCGCCCATCCTCTGTTCTCCCCCCCCCCTCTCCCCCCTCCTCCGCCGCCTCCTGCTTCCTTTCAGAGGAGAACCCAATCGCTTCCCCCCCCACCGCCCCCGCTCCAGGGCCCCGCGGCGCAAGCGCCCGCGGCGGCCGCCGGCCCCCGCCCCCGGCGCCTGGAGCCCCTGGGCGCGCTCTGCGCGCTGCCGGAGCCGACGGATCGCGCGCGGCGGACGGGGGAGGTGCTCGTCCTGCTGCTGCTGCTGCTGCTGCTGCTGCTGCTGCTGCTGCTGCTGGTGCTGGTGCTGTTGTTGCTGCTGCTGCTGCTGCTGCTGCTGCTGCTGCTGCTGCTGCTGCTGCTGCTCCCCTCCCCTGCTCGTCCTGCTGGCTGCGAGGATGTCCTCCTTTTCCTCCTCCTCCTCCTCCTCCCCTCCTCCTTCTCCTCCCCCCACCTCCTCCTCCTCCCCTCGTCCCTCCTCCTCCTCCTCCTCCTCCTCCTCCTCCTCCTCCATCTCCCCTCCCTCCACATCCTCATCCTCGCCCTCTCTCTCCTACTCCTCCTCCTCCTCCTCCTCCTCCCTCCTCTCCTCCCTCCTCCTCCTTCTCCTCCTCCTCCTCCATCTCCTCCTCCTCATCCTCCTCCTCCTGCCTCTTCCTCCACCTCCTCCTCCTCCTCCTCCTCCGCCCCTTACCCCCCCTCCTCCTCTACTCCTCCTCTCCTCCTCCTCCTCCTCTCCTCACTTCTCCTCCTCCTCCTCCTCCACCAGCTCCTCCTCCTCCTCTCCTCCTCCTCGTTCCCTCCCCTCCATCCTCCTCCTCCACCTCGCCTCCTCCTCCTCCTCCTCCTCCTCCTCCTTCTCCTCCTCCTCCTCCTCCCCCTCTTCCTCCCCCTCCTTCTCCCTCCTCCTCAGGAGGAGGAGGAGGAAGACTCAATGTTGGGCTGAGTCAGCCGTTCTCCTCTGTCGGCACTTTCCTGTCGACACCCCGTGGTGGTGAGCGCGTGATCGGGATGTTACCCGAATCTGCTGAGACTCGGTCTCGAACGAGGTAAAACCTCCAGACGCGTCGGTAGGGCGGGTTGGGCATTTCGCCTGAGAATTCCTCACCACTTCTGATCCTGACGCTTGAAATTTGTAATTTCACGGAAATAGGGCGCTTCGTTTTCAAAATGTTGTTCTTGCTTTCGCGCCGCTTTTTCGCCTCACAAGTGTGCAACAGCGTCAAGGATGGAAGGCGAGTCGTTTTTTGAATGTGTCTTTCCACTTAGCGTCGCGCATATTCGTTTACAAAGTTCACAACAGATTCGCGGGTGGAGGGCGGAGGGTTTTCGAGACGTGGGTCTCGCTTGAGCCTTTAGCGCCGCGCACATTCGTTTTGAAAGTTCGCAACAGTTTCAAGCATGAAGGGCGTTTTTGTTCATCATGTGACTCTCGCCCTGGCGCAGTTCACTTTCATTGTGGATGTTTGAGATGTTTTCAAGGGTCCGCATGTTCGGAATCCCAGGAAGTGCGTTCGGGGAAGATTTAGGATTGTCAGGGCGCAACAGTCATGTTGATTCGCGGTGTTGAAGTCCCAGGAATAGTTCTCTGTCACATTTTTTGGTTTTCAGGACGCAGCGGTCACGTTGATTCGCGACGCTGAAGTACCTGGAATTTCTTTTTGGCACGGTTGGGGATTCTTAGACGGTGATCTTCCAATGTGACTTCCAGCAATGGAAATAAAGTAGTGCCTTGTGAGGGGGGAATTTGGAGGGAGGGCGTCCTGCAACATCATTGGTGCGGCTTGTTCCTGTTCCTCGTCCTTCCCTCTCTTACACTCCTTTCCTCTCCCCACCCTTCTCTTACTTCCTCCTCCTCGCCCTCCCCTCTTCATCTTCTGGCTTCCTCCTCCTCCTCCTCATCCTCCTCCTCTTCCTCTTCCTCTTCCTCTTCCTCCCACCATCGCCGCTTCGCCGGCGATGCGGCTCGATTGGGAGCCCGATGTTTCTCCACGCCAGCGCCGCCGATGCTTCGGCGATCCTCCGACCCCATCTGCTCGCACAGCTGGTTCGCGCCGTGTCGGGCGGCAATTCCCCCGGAGTGGACGCTCCAGAGTCCACGCCAGCGGCGGCCCAGAGTCGGCTGATGTCGAGTAAGCGACGTTGTCGCCACGCCGTCGATCGTTCAAAGCTGAGCGATCCACGCGGCGGCACGAACCTTGGCGGGCGAATGACGGTATGAGGCAAACTCTTCCGGCACCGAGGGCGCCTGTCCCAGGGCGGCTTGAAAGTTTATACCTTGACGTGCCACCGTAGGGGCATAAGCTGTCCAGCCGCCCTGGGACAGGCATCCCCGACGGCGGAAAAGTTCAATCTGTACCGTCCTTCGCTCGTTAAGAACCTGCCCGCACTCCGCCTCGGACCGATGGTCCTTAGGGTTTTGACTTTCAGCTCCACCTGCACTGCGGAGCATGTGCCGGCCCCCATTATATCGCCCGCGTCGCGGCGAAGGGCGTCGGCGGACCACACGTCGGCGCGGACACGTCCTGAGGATGATCGATTGGAGGCTTCCCGGAAGAAGACCCGCCAGGGCCGCCACGACACGGTCTTGCCGTACAGTCGGACCGAGGCATATGAGATCGAGGTCGGTTCGGGAAAGTTACCTTGGTGTTCTTCGTGCTTGTTGCCCGTTCTTATGCATTCCGGGGAGGGTGCTCTTGGATGTTCTGTGTGTCTTGGCCGACGGAGGGTCTCATGTTCTTCAGGGGCGTTCCTCTGGCCCAGGTTCGACTGTAAGGGTTCGGCGGTCAAGCCTCGACCCTTGACCCATCCCGGGCTCCGATCTGGCCAGGGGTTCGAGGGGAACCCCTCGGTGGCCACGATGGCGCCCCAGGAGGTTGACAGCAGCAGCAGCAGCAGCAGCAGCAGCAGCAGCAGCAGCAGAAAGAGCCGCGCCCTGACGGCGCATCGGCAGACCACGTGCGAGCGCATCCGAAGAAAAGGTCACTGAGCCTCGGCCGGCCACCACATGCAGGCTTTGCGTACATGGCGCGCGAGGGTAAGCAGCGACACTCTGTCTCAAGAGGGGGGGGGAGGGGAGGGAGGCGAGGCGACGAAGGGAGGGAGGGAGGGGGGGGAGGCACTCACGGAGGGAGGAGGGGAGGGAGGGAGAGAGGAGGAGGTCGACAGAAACGCCCCCAAACCTCGAACTTCCGATGCTCGAACCTCGATCCTGAACCCCGGGTGGTGTTCAAAATGTGGCTCTCGACTTGGCGCCGCGCACATCCGTTTAAACAGATTGCAACAGTTTTCAGAATGTGGCTCTCGCCTGTGCGCCGCGCACATTCGTTTTCACAAGTTGCTAGAGCTTCACGGGTTGAGGGTGGTTCCTTTTCAAAGTGTGGCTCTCGCCTTAGCGCCGCGCACATTCGTTTTAAACAGTTGCTTCAATTTCACGGATTGAGGGCGGGTAGTTTTCAAAATGTGGTTCTCGCTTTAGCGCCGCGCACATTCGGTTTAAACAGTTGCAAGAGCTTCACGGACTCCCATGATCAGCGCACCAGAAATAGTGTTTTGGAAAGGATTCAGGCTTATGCGGGTGGAACAGTTATGTTGATTCGCTGTGTTGAAGTCCCAAAAAACGGCGTGCTGGCATGATTCCATATCGCCAAAACGCAGCAGTCAGGCCAATCCGTGGCATGGACATCCCGAGAACAATGCTTCGGCATGCTTCAAGGTCTTCAAACGGTTGTCTTCCAACGAGACAGTTCCCTCAATGGAAATGAACCGTTGTAGGGGCCTATGAAGAGGGAGCTTGGGTTTACACTCTTGGGTTTACACTGATCCTCTTCCTCCTCCTTCTCCTCCTCCTCCTCCGCTTCCTTCTCCTCCTCCTCCTCCTTCTCCTCCTCCCCCTCCTCCTCCTCCTCCTCCTCCTCCTCCTCCTCCCTCCTCCTCCTCCTCCTCCCCCTCCTCCCCCTCCACCTCCTCACTCCTCCTCTCCTCCTCGTCCTCCTCCTCCTCCTCCTCCTCCCCTCCTCTCCTCCTCTCACCGTCTCCACCTCCTCCTCCTCCTCCTCCGTCCTTCCTCCTCCTCCTCTCCTCCTCCTCCTCCCTCTCCCTCCTTCTCCTCCTCCTCCTTCCTTCTCCTCCTTCTCCTCCTCCTCCTCCTCCTCCTCCTCCTCTTCCTCCTCCAACCCCCCCTTCACCCATTCCGACAGCACGTGCCCAACCCCCCAAGCGGATCCAAGGGGAAGGGGAATTGTTGCCCCATCCAGAGTAGGCGAGGACCTGTCGTGCGGGGGTGCCTGGCACTGGGCGGCTGGCCAGTTCATACCCCAGGGGTGGCAGGTAGGGGCACGAGCTGCCCCTTTGCCCTGGGACTGGAGCCCCCGATGGCGGAGAAGTTTGTCTTGCACCGTTCTTGACCCGCCAGGCTGCAACGAGGTCGGCCCAATGCTGCCGCGACCTCGTCGCTCTGCGCAGTCAGGCGCAGCAGCGTCGACAGAAAAGACGGCTGCAGGCTCCTAACTGGGATGTCAGCCTGACGCTAACGCATCAAGTGGCAATCCCCCCAGCCCTTTTTTTTAGGGTGGAGGCGGTTGAGGGCGTTTCCTCTTCGAGCTTCCCCGATCCCCCTTTCGGGGAGAGGCATATTATTTTTGCTCTGTATTGATGTACCCCTCCACACACCACCCGAGAAGAGGACCTGCAACTCTGTATTGGCTGGCCAAATCTGTATTGGCTGGCCAGATTTGTGTTGGTCGGCCTTGCCGCCCTTCACCCCCGACTATTTAAATCTGCATTGGCCGGGGATAATAAACTCTCAGGCCTGAAGGGGGGGGGGATGATTTAGTATCCGGGGGTGGTGGTTATTGATGTACGCCACCCACCCCGCCCGACAAGAGGAATTGCAGTGCGAGGTCGAGCCTCCCCGTCATACCACGCGCCGCCTCGTCGAGCGACCTGACTGGTGCGGGCCGTAGCCTGGCATCCTTTGGTATCTTTTGCAAGCGAGGGTGGTCAAACGCGAGGTAGGTTCGTTTGCCTCCTATGCTGCACCCCCCTCCCACTGCCACCCGAGAAGAGGACCTGCAGTCCGAGGTCGAGCTGCTCTACTCCACCGGCCGGCGGCTACAGCACGCCCGCGTCGTGCGGCTGCTGGAGGCGAGGGCCGACATCAACGCCGAGCTGCAGCACGCGCGGGCGAGGTCCTCCCCGCCGCCGCGGCGGGATGCTCCTCCTCCTCCTCCTCCACCTCCTCCTCCTCCTCCTCCTCCTCCTCTTCCTCCTCCTCCTCCTCCTCCAACTCTACCTCCTGCTCTGCCTCCTCCTCCTCCTCCTCCTCCTCCTCCTCCTCCTCCTCCTCCAACTATTCCTCCTGCTCCTCCTCCTGCTTCTCCTCATCCTGCTTCTCCTCCTCCTCCTCCTCCTCCTCTCTCCTCCTCCTCCTCCTCCTCCTCCTCCTCCTCCTCCTCCTCCTCCTCCTCTCTGCTCCTCCTTCTCCTCCTGGGAGATGCCTGCTCTCGTCCTGCTTCTGGAGGCAGCTTTTTGCATCCCCTGGCGATGCAGTCGAGGCTCTGGGTTCGGGCCGTGCCTTGGGCCTACCAGTCGGGGGCCCTGCTCGTGGACGAGGCCCGCCGTGGCCAGGCACGCCCCTTCGCTCCTCCTCTGGCGCTCCTTCTGGCAGCGCCCCGACTTGCAACGGGCGTGACAAAGGGGTGCGGGCAGGGGGAGGAGGAAGAGGAGGAGGAGGAGGAGGAGGAGGAGGAGGAGGAGGGAGGGAGGAGGGAGGAGGAGGAGGAGGAAGGAGGAGGAGGAGGAGGAGGAGGGAGGGAGGGATGGAGGGGAGGGGAGGGAGGGAGGAGGAGGAGGGGAGGAGGGAGGGAGGCAGGAGGGAGGAGGAGGAGGAGGGAAGGAGGAGGAGGGAGGAGGAGGAGGGGAGGAGGAGGGGAGGAAGGGAGGAGGAGGAGGAGGAGGAGGGAGGAGGAGGAGGAGGAGGAGGAGGAAGAGGAGGAGGAGGAGGAGGGCGGGAGGGAGGGAGGGAGGAGGGCGGAGGGAGGAGGGAGATGGGAGAGGAGGGAGGAGGAGGAGGGAGGGAGGGAGGAGGGAGGAGGAGGGAGGAGGGAGGAGAGGAGGGAGGAGGGGGGAGGGGAGGGGAGGAGGAGGAAGAGGAAGGAAGAAGAAGGAGGAGGAGGAGGAGGAGGAGGAGGACAGGAGGGAGGAGGAGGAATTCATGAGGTAGGAGGAAGGACGAGGAGGAAGATGGAGGAGAAGGAGGAGGAGGAGGAGGGGGGGAGAGAGCCGGCCACGTCACGATTCCACGATGCGCTCCGGCGCCTCCTGGGCATGAATGTCCAGGGACGGCCAATCCCCAGAGGGCGCCGGCCTCGCGAATCGTGACGTGGCCAGGGGCGGGGGATGGTGGGGGGGGGGAAGGGCGAGGGCGGTCACGGGCGGTCTCGCCAAGCATATGAGAGAGGCTCCGCTTGCTCGTTCTCCCGGAGATCCCTCGTCTGATGGGCCTTTTTTCCACCACCACCACAAGTTGGAGGGGGAGGGGGTTCTCCTCCTCCCTCTCCGGCCTCTCCACCCTCCACCCTCCTCATCCTCCTCCTCCTCCTCCTCCTCCTCCTCCTCCTCCTCCTCCCCTTCGTCCTCCTCCTTCTCGTCCTCCACCTCCTTCCCCCCTCCAGCTTATAGTGGTGGTGGTGGTGGAAGACAGGCCCAGCATCGCCGCCGCGGCGGGGTTCCCCCCGAAGTTCTGGTCAGAGCGCGCCCTTGGAGAAGTCCAGGGGAGCGGCTGCACGTCGGCACCGCAGGGCGGGCCGAGACAGCGGCGGTTGGCCCTCGGGGGTCCCCTCTTCGCCGCGGCTGGGCGCAGCTCGGAAAACTGGTGCGAGGAAGGCTGGTGCGATTCGGGCCCTGGGAAGGGGCGTCCCCGCCCCGAGAAGCAAAAGCTGCACTTGCAGAGACTTTCGGGGCTCCGCGCGGATTTCTTGGATCGGCGCTGGACCCCCCCCTGGCGCCACAGGGGGGTCCGGCGCCAATCCAAGAACTTCGCGCGGAGCTCCAAAAGTATATGCTATTGTTGTTTGTTCTCTGCCCCCGTCGCTGCTGGGGGAACGGGCCATCATCGTGAGAGTCAACCCCGCCGCTACGAGTCAGAGAAGGGCGAGTTAAGACGACAGTGATTGGCATTCGGGGGTCACCATCGTCGCCGAGGCTACTTAGACGCAGCCCATAAAACTTGTGCGTTTGGACCCCAGGGTGGCCGAGTGTGCGCTGCCGTTGTCTCAACTCGTTCTGCTCCGAACGAGGGAAGCGGATCATCACAATCAAAACCAGTTCAGCCTCGACCAGGACAAGGCAAGCCGGTCCTCCCAGCGTGCGCCCTCCTCTGGGTGGGGACAGGTTGGGGCAGTTGCAGGTCCTCGAGGCGGCCCCCCGCCGCCACGGGGAAAAGCTAGGCAGCGCCCTCGGGAGTCACAAGTTTGGGTGTCACCGCCCTGTCGCCTTGAGTGGGGCCTCTGGAGTCCTCTTAGGACGGACTCCAGAGCCTTTTGGAGACCGCCCCGTCGAGGAGGTTTTGGATTGTTTGGACGTCTCTGGGGGTCCTGGGGGTGTTCTGTCGGACGAACGCCCTGAACGCTCTCAGAGCGTTCTGAAACGCTCTGAGATGGCCGTGGCGCCCGAGACATCTTCCAGAGCCGTCGGATCTCAGAGACTTTCGATTCATCCGCACCCGGTGTTGTCCTCGCCCTGGCTTCGTCTGGTCTTGGGGGGCGCAGGAGAGGATCGAGGCCTGGGACGTCTCTCGGCGTCTCCGAGGGTCCCGCGGGAAGCTCACGAGGGGCCGTTAGTGGTGCTTTCCCCTTGGCATGGCCTGGCACGGACGTGATCGCGTCGCGAAACATCCGCACGGGGAGGGGGATCGACGCAGGAGGAGCTCCTCCTCCTCCTCCTCCTCCTCCCTCTATCTCCTCCACCTCTCCTCCTCTCCTCCTCCTCCTGGCCTCCTCCTCCTCCTCCTGCTCCTCCTCCTGCTCCTCCTCCTCCTCCTGCTCCTCCTCCTCCTGCTCCTCCTCCTCCTCCTCCTCCCTCCTCCTCCTCCTCCTCTGCCTCCTCCTCTTCCTCCTCCTCCGGGACGAAGGTCTTTCGCCGCGGTCCCTGGAGGCCCTCCCCGGCCCCTGGGACCGTCAAAAATAGCGACCCAGGTAAAAAGACAGGTTTCGGGGCAAGGGTCGGGACTTCTAGGGGCCGCGCGTCGAACAGAGCAGGACGCCCCAGGTCTTCCGAGGAGGAAGAGGTACCCACACCGCTGCCCTCGCCCCGTTTTCCTTTTCTGGGCCTCCTCGGAGGCCCTCGTCGCCACCGCGGGATTCGCCTCGAACTTCTGGTCAGAACGCACCCCGGGAGAGGTCCAGGGAAGTGCGGAGAGTAGGGCAATTGGGTTCCTGGTGACCTTCCTGACCTGTTGGGTTTCCCAGTGGGGGGGGGGGGGGGGGGGGCAAGCATCGTCGTCAGTCACGGCAATCCCTGCCCCGACTGGCACAGGGGGCGTGGGAGGGCAGCGGGCCCCCCGCGCGCTCCTCTGTGTGGGGCTGGGTGCTGCGATGTCCAGGCAGCGCCCAGGTGGGTCATGGTGAGGGGGGTCACGCCTTCTCAGCACACTGGGAGGGGGCATCGAGCATCGAGGATCGAGCAGAGTATATGGACTGGCGCCTTGGGGGTCCGGGGTTGTCATGGGGGGCTCAGAAGGGCCCACCCTTCCCCGAGGGAGGTGGCGCCTCCGGCCCGGAGGGCCAGGAAGGCGCCGCGCGTTGAGCTGCTCGCGAACCCCGTTGCCCAGTTCCCGCTTTCGGGGGGGGGGGGGGAGGGGCCCAGCCCTCGACGAGCTTCGAGGCTCGAGGAAGTCGCGCCGGTCGCGTTTTCGGGGGGGTGGGGGGGGGGCGCGCCCTCGAGCTCCGAGGCTCGATCGAGAAAGTGGCTCGTCGTCGCGTTTCGGGAAGGGGGAGGCATGGGGCGCGGTCCTCGAGCCTCGGGGCCTCGAGGCTCGAAGGAGCTCGAAGGCTCGACGGGCGACTTCCTCGAGCCTCGGGGCTCGAGGCTCGAGCTCCGAGGCTCGAGGGAGTCGCTCGCCGCGTTCCGCCCTCGGCCGGGAGGGGTCGCGCTCGAGGGGCGGCGCCCGCCGCTACGGGGGGGGGAGAAGAGCGGGCCCCTCGCCTCGGGGGCCTCGAGGCGCGAGGCGCGAGGAGGCCGTCGTCGCCGTCGCCGTCGCCAGTCGCCGGTCGTCGGTCGTCGGTCGTCGGTCGTCGGTCGTCGGTCGTCGGTCGTCGGTCGTCGGTCGTCGTCGTCGTCGGTCGTCGGTCGTCGGTCGTCGGTCGTCGGTCGTCGTCGGTCGTCGTCGTCGTCGTCGTCGTCGTCGTCGTCGTCGTCGTCGTCGTCGTCGGTCGTCGGTCGTCGGTCGTCGGTCGGCGTCCGACAGGAAGTATTCCGAGGAGGTCCCCGCACCGCCACGAGGGCCCGCGGAGCCCTCTCCTCAGAGGCTCGGCGCTCGAGGCTCCAGGAGGTTCTGCGCAGCACCGTCGCCTCCTCGGGGGGCGCGCTTCGGGCCCCAGGGCCGCCGGGAGGAAGGCCGGCCCAGCATGGGCCCGAGGAGGGGTCCAGGGAGTCCCAGGGGTGCAGCTGGTGTTCCTCCATCTCGTTTCTCCTCCTCCTTCTCCTCCTCCTCCTCCTCCCCTCCCTCCCCTCTGTCCTCCGCCCCTCCCCCGATCCTGCTCCTGCTCTTTCTCCTCATTCTGCTCCTCTGCTCCCTTCCTCTCTCTCTCTCTCTCTCCACCGTCCCTGCCCCTCCTCATCATCTTCTTATTCCTCTTCCCTTTTTCTTATTACGATTCCCTCCATTCCTCCCGCGCTCTGCGCTACTACACAGTCCATCCCGTGAACACAAGGTGCCCGCACACCTCACATCAAAAAGCAAGTTACCTCCTGGGAAAGGGCACGGCACGGTCTCCTCCAATTTACTGGAGGGGGATCTTCACCTGCTTCAGCATGCGAAGGGTTTTGACCCTCAAATATGTCTCATCCTTTTCTCTGTTCATCCTCATCCTCATCCTCATCCCTTCTCATCTTCTCTCCTTAATGCCATCCTTCTTTGCCTACTTGAGTACTGGTGGCTGCTCGTGTAATGCCCAGCCACTGCAGGACATTCCATCCATGGAGGAAGCGTAACCTCTGAGGATCCTCCCACTCCTTTTCCTCCTCCTCCTCCTCCTCGTCCTCCTCCTCCGCCTCCTCCCTCCTTCGCTCTTCCTCTCTTTCCCTCGTTCTCCTCCTCCTCCTCCGTTTTCTCCTTCCCCCCTTACCCCTCCTCCTTTCTCCCTCCTTTCCCCCCTGCCCCCTTTCCCGACTCGTCCGATTCGTGTCGGTCGTGACCACGCCTGCTGTGGCTGCAGTTCCGTGGCTTCGTGATTCACCCTCCGCCCTGCCACCTTTTGGAGGCCTGGAAATGGGCATCAACACCAACACGGGGGGCCGCCTCCACAGTGGGAAGATGATCCAAGATTTCGGTGTTGGTGGTAAACATGTCGGTCATCTCGAAAGCCGGAATGTTACCACCATCACCGAGATGGGGATCTTCTTCCTTCGGTGGAGGCACACCGCCGAGGTTGGTGTTGGTGTCCACCTCTAGGTCGCGCACCCCCCTCCCGTCGTTACCCTCCCCTCCTGCTCCGCCCCGGTGCCCGGGCAGCTCCCCGGCCTGGCGCGCTCGTGGTGCGGCGCCGGGCGAGGCGGGGCGGCCCCCGCGTCGCGCGAGGGCGGCCGCTGTCGGCAGACACTGCCCGGCGCGCTCCGCCACGCGCGCTGGCGCACGCGGCGCTTGGAGCACGCAGCACACCTGGCGCGCGAGGCGCACCTGGCTGTGCCTCAGCGACCGCCGCCGCTCGCCTCCTCCTCCTCCTCCTCCTCCTCCTCCTCCTCCTCCTCCTCCTCCTCCTCCTCCTCCTCCTCATCGTCCTCATCATCATCAGCGTCATCATCATCACCATCACCATCACCAGCAGCATCATCACCATCACCGTAGTCATATCCTTCATCCTCCTCCACATCATCATTATCTTCTTCTTCTTCTTCTTCATACTCACCATCACTATTACCATCCTCATCACCATCATCAGCACTATCATCCTCAGCATTAGTTACGATCATCATCATCATCATCATCACCACCATCATCATCATCATCATCATCATCATCATCATCATCACCATCACCATCATCATCATCATCATCACCATCATCATCATCATCATCATCATCATCGTCATCATCATCAGCAGCATCATCGGCATCATCAGCATCATCATCAGCATTATCAGCATCACCATCAGCATCATCATCATCATTACTGTCATCATCGTCAGTTTCACCATCGTCATCGTCATCAAGATCAGCATCAGCATCAACATCATCACCACCATAGTCATAAGCATCATAAGTTTCATCAGCATCTTCACCACCACCATCATAATCACCATCACCACCATCATCATCATGATCAGCATCAACATCATCATAAACAGCATCACCATCATCAGCATCTCCATCTTCATCACCAGTATCAACAGCAGCAGTTTCAGCAACATCAGTATCATTATCAACATTGTCGCCAACATTATTTGTCTACCACCACCATCATCATCATGCCCGCCATCATCATCTGCATCTTCGCCGTCATCATCCTCATCCACATCAGCATCACTGCCATCATCACAATCACCATTGCCATCATCATCATCATCATCACCACCATCATCATCCGCATCATCATCACCATCAGCATCATCATCAGCATCAGCATCATCAGGATCATCATCATCATCATCATCATCATCATCATCATCATCAGCAGCAGCATCATCATCCTGATCATGATCAGCATCGTCAAAATCAGCAGTATGATTAGCAGTTGCAACCTCTTTCTCATTATCGTTAGCACGATCAGTCACGTCTTCGTTATCACCATCTCCATTTCCTCCTCCCCCTCCTCCTCCTCCCCCTCCTCCTCCTCCTCCTCCCCCTCCTCCTCCTCCTCCTCCTCCTCCTTCTCCGCCCCCTCCTCCTCCTCCTCCTCCTCCTCCTCCTCCTCCGTCCTCCTCCTGTCTCCTGTCGCCCCCTCCTTTCTCACATCCCATCCCTCCCGACTCCTCGTCTTCCTCACCGTCCTCCTCCTCCTCCTTCTTCCTCCTACTATCCTACTTCAACTTAACCTACTCCTCCTCCTCTCCTCCTCCTCCTCTCCTTCCCCTCCTCCATGTCCGCGGGCTCGGGGTGTGATCGGGCCCCGCCCCTTTCACCTCACCCGTTCTGATGCTCGGTGCTATCGATCGTGCCTTCGACTGCAGTGCTGCATGCTCGCTCGCCTCCCTCCACCTCCTCTTTCACCCCCTCCACCCCTCCTTCCTCCTGCCTCCTCTCTCCTCCTCCTCCCCTCTCTCCTCTTACCTCCTCCGCCTCCTCTTCCTCCTCCTCCCCATCCTCCTCCTCCTCCTCCTCCTCCTCACTCCTCCTCCTCCTCCTCCTCACTCCTCTCCACCACCTCCTCCTCCCCTCCTCCGCCTCCTCCTCTTCCTCCTCCTCCTCCTCCTCCTCCTCCCCCTCCTTCTTCTCCTCCTCCTTCTCCACCTCCTCCTCCTCCTCCTCCTGTTCCTCCTCCCCCTCGCGGGCGGTTTTCAGAACGTGGCTCCCGCTCCAGCGCCGCGCAGATTCGCTGCAAATCGTGTAAAAGGACTCCATGGGTTGGGAGCGGGTCGCTTTCAAAACGTGGCTCTGGCCTGAGCGCAGCGCACCATCTTCTCCAAACATTGCATAAGCTCCACGGATTGAGGGCGGTTCCGTTTCAGCATGTGGTTCTGGCTTGAGCGCCGCGCACCATTTTTCCAAACATGGCATGAGCTCCACGGATTGAGGGCGGTTCCTTTTCAGCATGTCGTTCTGACCTTGGCGCCGTGCACCATCAATGTAAACTAGTTGCAAGAGGTTCACGGGTTCCCATGGACAATGTACCAGAGATGGTGTTTTGGAATGGTTCTGGACTGTCAGGGCGCAACAGTAACGTTGATTCGCGGTGCAGACGTCCCAGGAATGGCGCTCGGGTGCGATTCAGCACGGTCAAGCCGCAACAGTCAGTTGATTTGCGGCTTTGGGGTCCCAGGGATGGTGTTTTGGCACGCTTCAGGGTCTTCAAACGGCTATCTCCCAAAGAGGCATGTTCCTCAGCGGGAATGAATCCTTGCAGGGGCCTATGAAGAGGGAATTTGAAGGGAGGGTTTACTTCAGCCTCGTTGATGAGTCTGGAGTTTGCAACGTTCCTCATCCTCCTCCTTCTCCTCCTCCTCCTCCTTCTCCTCTTTCACATCCTCCTCCTCGCCGTCCTCCTCCCCATCATCCTTCTCCTCCTCCTCCTCCTCCTCCTCCTCCTCCTCCTCCTCCTCCTCCTCCTCCGTCTCCTCCTCCTCTTCCTCCTCCTTCTCCTCCTTCTCCTCTTCCTCCTTTCCCCTCCCTCATCGCCGCCTCCGCGCCCTCGAAGCCCCGATTCTCCCTCCGAGAGGTCCACTCTGCTGGGCCACGTCGCCAGGCGCACCGTGCTGCTCGGGGAGGAGCCGGACACCTCGCTGGTGGCCCGCCTGCTGCGGCTGCGGGCGGACCCGAACCGCCGCGTGTTCGAGCACGAAGCGGGCGCGGACCCCTCGGTCGCTGGGCACCGAGGGAAAGGGCTCGGCATGAATGGATCGGGTCGTGATCGAAACGGAGGAGGAGACGGAGGACCAGCCTGCCGAGGAAGCGCAGTCGTGACAAGGACACGCCGCGGCCCTGGGAGGGGTTGGAAGAGGAGGAGGAGGAGGAGGAGGAGGAAG